CAAAAAATTAGCCGGGCATGGTAGCACACACCTGTAGTTCCTGCTACTTGGAAGGCTGAGGCGGAAGGATCGCCGGAGCCCAGCAGGTCGAGGCTGCGGTGGCCGGGAGCGGCCACTGCACTCCAGTCTGGGTGACAGAGTGAGACTCCAACTCAAAAAAAAAAAAAAAAAAAGTTGAGGAAATGCATGCCATTCCCATTTTTATTCTATAAAAATTCGTAAATGTTTGTGTGGCTAAAAATCCAACTATTAGAAATATTCATTAACAGACTATTTCTTAACCATGTAAAGTTTAGGCAGTGAGTTGTCTTCTGTCAATATTTTAATTGATTGCATTCTTAATATTTAATATGGAAGAATCATGCATAAGTATTTTAATATGTTGGATACTCAGTTCAAAAAATTTAAGATTTTTAATATCAGTGATTAGGACTGTAATCATATTCCTACTTTTGGGAAGAGAAGGAATATTTTGTAGCTGTATTATAATTTTTTTAAAGTCACTTTTCTGACAATATAATTCACAATGTCTTGTACATAGTAGATGCTTACTGTATAATTTTGAAGGAGTGAAGTTATTGGAAACAAAAGTAAATTCTTAAGTTATTAGGGAATCACATAGGTGCTTTGAATTTAAAATAGTGTCATGCTTTCTGAGAAGTGTGAAAAGTCATAGAAATGAGTACTTGACCAGCGAGGCTACACTTGTCCTCTTGCTCATGTCTTGCAGGATGTCAGTGGGGGAGGACCCGCCCGCTCCTACCCAGTGGGAGGCCTCTGTTACTACCTTTCTCCTCCGGAGTCCATGGGCGCCATATTTGAGGATCCCGTCCATGTTGTGGTGTACATCATCTTCATGTTGGGGTCATGTGCATTCTTTTCTAAGACTTGGATAGAGGTGTCTGGCTCCTCAGCCAAAGATGTAAGCATCTGGTTTATTTTAAAATAGAAAAATTTTTTCTGGAACTAAAATCCATCATTGTAAAGTGTCAAAATAGCAGTTGTTACACTCTTACTTTTGTAATTCAAGCTTTAATTCATACACTCTTAATGTGACGTCACCCCAAGGGGCTAAAATTTGGTTCTGGGAAGGTAAACAATTCTTAGATACTACAAGGGTCTGCGACCCTCCAAAACCTTGCTGAACAAAAATCTTATTTGTTAGACATGAAAAAAGGGTTGAGAAGCACTGGGGGAGTGTGATTCCTCTGTAGCTGTGTGGCACTCAGGTTCGACTTTCCAGGGTTAATGGGGAGGTTATGACAATGCCAACTTCGGGATTTTTGTTTTCCTCGTCAGGGTGTGGAAAGCACTGAGCCTGGCGGGTGGTCGTCGGTGAAATGGCAGCGCTTGACTGTAACGTCTTTTCTCCTGGCAGGTAGCGAAGCAGCTTAAAGAACAGCAGATGGTAATGAGGGGCCACAGAGATACGTCCATGGTGCACGAGCTGAACAGGTAAGACCAGCAGGTTCACCCTTTCTGGGAGGAAGTTTGGGTGTCAGTCTGTCTTTCCCTTATCGCTAAATGTTTTTCTTTGTGTGTTCAAATTCATGTTTAAAGCCATTTTCTCCTGTTCACACAAAAAACCAAAAATTTAACTCCAAACTTGTTTTCCACGTCAGAACTGACACCTAAGTTAACTAAAAATAAGTTGAAATTGTGTTCTTCTCTGCTCATCCCGCTAAAATGTTGTACATCAGTGGTTCTGGTGTTGGCGGCTGCACATAAAGACACCAGGAGCTTTTGAAAAAATACCGGTCTTCACCTCCAGGAATTGTGATTTAAGAAGTCTGGGGTGAGACCCAGACATCAGGTTTTCGGGGTTTTTAAAAAATTGGTTTATTGAGATATAATCCACGTATCATGTAATTCACTTGAAGTGTGTATTTCAGTTTTTTTTTTAGTACATTCAGACATGTGTGGTCATTACAGTCTAATTTTAAGGATATTTTCTCATCCAGAAAGAAATCCTAGACCCATTAGTATTCCTCATTCCTGCCCCACCCTCCCAACCCTGGGCAACCACTTTTTACCTCCGTGGATTTGCCTGTTCTGGATGTTTCATGTTGGCTGAATCATGTAATGTGGTCTTTTGTGAACGGCTTCCTTCACTTTGCACATTTCCCAAGTTCATCAGCATTACAGTATGTATCGGCACTTCCTTCTGTTCGGAAGTTCTGTTTGGTTCCATGGCTGCACCACATATTGTTTGTCCATTCCTCAGCTGATGAAAATTTGGGCTGTGAGCACTTTTGGGCTTTTTTTTGAGTTGGAGTCTCACTCCATCACCCAGGCTGGAGTGCAGTGGCACACTCAATGGCCACTGCAGCCTTGACCTGCTGGGCTCAGGCCATCCTTCTGCCTCAGCCTTCCAAGTGGCTGGAACTACAGATGTGTGCTACCACACATTAGCCCTGCTAATTTCTTGATTTATTGTAGAGACGAGGTCTCATCTTGTGCCCAGGCTAGTCTCTAACCCACAGACTCAGGCAATCTTCCCACCTCGGCCACTCAAAGTGCTGGAATTACAGGCTGAGCCAGCAAGCCTGGCTGTGGACTATTTTGAATAATGCTGTGATGAACATACCTATACAGTTTTTGTATGGATGTATGTGGTTTTTTTCTTTTCCCTGATGACGAATTTGAACATCTTTTCATGTAACTATTAGCCGTTTATATATCTTCTTTGGAGAAATGTCTATTCAGACATTTGCTCTTTTTTTTTTTTTGAATTGGAGTCTCACTCTGTCACCCAAGCTGGAGTGCGGTGGCACTCTCAAGGCCACTGCAACGTCGACTTGCTGGGCTCTGGTGATCCTTCCACGTCAGCCTTCCAAGTAGCTGGAACTACAGGCGCAATTCACCACACCCGGCTAATTTTTTGATTTATTGTAGAGACGAGGTCTCGCCAAGTTGCCCAGGCTAGTCTTGAAGCCCTGGCCTCAGGTAATCCTCTCACCTTGGCCTCCTAAAATGCTGGGTTTACAGGCTTGAGCCACCACACCCAGCCTCATTTGCTCATTTTTAATTGGGTTGTCTTTTTGTTCATTTTAGGGTTGGATTTTTTTGGGGGGAGGGGATAAAAGTCTTTGTCAGATACATGATTTGCAAATATTTTCTCTCATTCTGTGTTTTTTCACCTTCTTGGTGGTGTCCTTGAATGCACAAGGTGTTGATCTTGATGAATTCTAATTTCATTTCTCCTTTGGTGGCCTCATGGTATTTTTTTTTTTTGAGTTGGAGTCTCACTCTGTCGTCCAGACAGGAGTGCAGTGGCCGCTT